TAAGATATAGCAAATATAATAGCACTATTAATTTCATATGCTAGATAAATGTAAACACCCTATTATATAATTATAGCATAAACTTTTGCGCACAGAGACTATACTGTATGTAAGCATTGTTTGTAAATACATAGGCATTAATATAGCGATCTTATATGAACACAAAAAAAAAAAATTATCAATTTTTCGAAAATCATTCAGATATTTTTTTTGCAGAAATAATCGGTGAAAAAGCTAAGAAGAAAAGAATGATTTCTAACCGATTACATTAGGTTAGACAAAATTATAAGCTTATAATCGTAACTTTAACGCATACAATTAAAATTTCTACTATTCACTGTTGAACTTTACTGTGAATTTCTAAAAAAAGCATTACAAACATTTGGGAAACTTAATATACCTGTTATAAGGGATATGATAATGTAACATTATTCATCACTTGGATACAAAAAAATTGAATGCATAGACATGCACTTACAAATATATATGTATACACCTACACTTGTACATATAGACAAGCATATTCTTTTCAAACATTTATTTAATTATAATTAAGACAATTTTAAAACATTGTTATATACAGTACTCTTTACTTAGTTTGAGCAACCAAGTTTTGTATACATATTTGCTCAATTGATAAAGGAGAACCGCTGATAATGAGTGAATTGCCTTATTGAATCGGTCTTTAGAACCAATTTATTTTTCGATAAGAATTTTATTAAGAAAAGTTCAAAGTTACCTACAAATAAAGAAAAATACTCATGCAACATATTGGTTGTGATGCCAGATCTCGATAAAAACGAAATTTCAAACAGTAAATAAAAACAAAATATTTGAGAATTGTTGTGGGTTGAAAAGTTCACTTATTGCCTAGCTACTACACTCTTATATTAAATTTTTTTAATATAATTATTTACATAATAGTTAACAAAAAAAAAAAAAAAAATTAAACAAATTTTAAATTAACAGAGCTTATATGTAAAGAAACCGTTTAGCATTAGAATGTTGGCTCTTCGCGTAAATTTTAATAATGGTAGCCTAAAAATAAATCTTTTTAAACCAATAATGTACTATAATGATGAAGATAAACAATATCCTTTCTCAACACAATTAGTTAACTAAGTCTATGGCACGAATAATTTGCTTTGGCAAATTTAATAATTATTTAGATGATTTTCAAAAAAAGAAAGAAAGCAAAGAAATTGTTTAGCTTTATTTTAATTTGAGTCGTTTTATACTTCAACTTGAGTTAGTGTAAATTTCTGTTTGTTGCGTTTGTCAACAGTGAGTTCAAATTATTGCATATTTTTATATATATATACATACATATAGATATATTATATGTATATAAATATATATATATATATAAACACATGATATACACACATTATATATATATAATATATTATATATATATATATATATATATATATATGCATGTACATATACACCGTCACAAACAAAATTGAAGGTTATATTATTATATTGTTATTTAAAAAAAAAACATTTTTTTTTTTCTTCAAGAACCAGTTTTTTTTTTATAATTTTTGTTTTGTGATTCTTTTTGATTGTACTCGTTCTGTTTTATAAAAATTTGCTATAGATTTATTGGTAATTTAAACATTTTTTCATTTTCGGAAGAATTATTACGCAATTTCAGATCATTACCGAAGAGGTCTTCAAATCAAATTTTTCACAGAATTCATTTCGTTTCATTATTTTAACGATAATTTGTATGAATACATTTCAGTTAAATTCTAATAAGGTATTGTATTCTACTTTCTTTTTATTTTTTTAAATATATTTCTGCTAATATGGAAAAAATTAATCACTTACTTAGTAATTTTGTGATATATTTCTAACAATATTTTTTTACTGCACTCATTCGCTCACTCACACGTTCAACTCTGTAGTTGAATCTCGAGACTGAAAAAAGAAGAATTCTTTTATTAACTTATTTGTTATATCCTCAGTTTTCCTCGTGTGTGTGTATGCAGGTCGGAATCAGCGTTTTTTTTTTTTTTTTTTTTTTTTGCTTTTTCGTAATATGTGCTTTTTGCCCACTCTTTAATAGCAATTCTACTGGTTGGTTGGCTGTGACACTTCGGTTTTTGGCACCGCGCGCGCGTTCTCAATTCGTTTATGTACATGCACACTCATTCATTCACCGTTTAACTTGACGTTTCGTCCACTCCACTAACATGCCGGATTTTCTATATGCATACATAAATAAATTTAAACAAACAAACAAATAAGCGAACGAACAAAGCCATACATTCATTGGTAAGGGGTTAAAAACATTGACGGGACGAAAAAGAGCTTTAAATATCTTAATATTAATATATTTTTCTGTACACCTCTGTATATGCATATAGATACTTGTGTAAGTTTTGCCCATTGTTAACAACATTCAAATTATCACGTATACAAATGTAAAAATAATAAAAAGATCATTATTATGAATTAATTTATTTATATTAATATTAATAGATGTATTAGCTTTTTATTATTAAGGTTTCTTTTCCTATTTAAATGCATAGTTTTGTGTTTCGTTAACAATAATTTAATAATGGTTTGTACCTAACGACGAATACGATAAAACTTGGTAAAGCAGAATAAAAACTAAACTTTTAACACTGGGATGTTAATTGTTTGCAATTGAGGTTAAAGGAAAGATTATATCATATATTATATGTAAGTATCCGAAATGAATTACAATAGAAGCTCTTAACTTTCTGAAGATGTGCGCAGAAAAATAGCAGTGCTCAGTAATTTTCTTATTTACCCATCACCATAATATATTAGATATGTCAAAGATAAATATATATATATTTTCACAATTACGATCACAACTCCAAAACCTTGTCAAGAAGAATAAGTTTAATCTCAAGTTTTGTTATATTAATGTTTATTCATAATTAGTAAAAAGTGTCATTTTTTCATATTTTTAAAATTAAATTGTTGAAACTACCTTCAAGTTTTTTCTTACCGCATGAAAATCTGCATCAATTCTAAACCTATTGACCTAAATCGAGCGAAAAATTTGTCACACAATTATCAAAAGAGATAAGAAGAATTGAAATAGGTGTGCGAATAAATAATTAGCTCTTAAATTGTGTTAAAAAGTAATTTGATGAGTGAAGTTATATATCCTGTCTATCCAAATATTGCAAACATCTATTTTATTTATGCAAAGTAATGGATGATAAGAACACGTTGTAATTGCTATAATTTATTGAAAATTTTCCGTTACAAAATATGCCAACGATGAGCGTTAAGGAGTTCAGTTTAAATAGAGAGACAATAATTTTTGTCTTAACAATAGAGCTACCAAGCACGTCTTGTTGATCCTTTGGAATTGTCGATCTTCAAAAAAATAGTTATAAGGCATGTAATGCTAAAATCTTTGTACAAACAGGCCTTTAAATGTCTATAATCATTTTTTTTATAGTTATTCTAGTTTTCGAAATGGCGCCAATAGGTAAAAGATGAAGATAGAAAGCTGAAATCTAGTACAAACATTGTCCGTTCGACTAAGAGCTTAAGGACAAAAAATGGTTCTGAACTGCCTCTACGCAGGATCACAAGTTAGAAGAAACTCGGAGGAGGACTCCCGAGGATTTTGATCCAGATGTTCGTTATGATAAACTTCACTTTCAATCTAAAAATGTTCCTGATTGGTTTGTTATCACGTCCAGAATTGACTACAAAATTGTAATCCTAATTTTTGTTTCAATTTATTTTCAATTTCCTCCAGCGCATTTTAGCCCATTCTTAACCCAATTACATGTAAGTTGTGATCATTTTTGGACCGAACATACAGGTGGCTCCACGAGCTATCTTCACGGAATCGAAAGTTATGGACGAAAATGTGTTTGGTGTCTTTTCGCGGTGGCCTCACTTTTTAATTAACTGAGGGCGGGTATGTGAGCAGATCACAATCATTTTTTAATCCCTATTTTTGTAATTGTGGCAATTCGACAAATAAATGAGATACGAGTACATGTAAAACGTTGGTCGGTTTGGCGCTTATCAAACTAATCGACTAAATCTGCACGTTTACAAAAAATCTGATATTTTTACCCTGCATCATTAACGTAGATCTTTAAAATTTTAGAGAATTAACCCTTAACGGACCTATGCTAGGAGCTATGGCACTTTTACTTATCTTAAAGTTTGGAGGTTAATCTTTAACGTGATTTCCACACTGCCTCCGCCCCTTCGCATGCTATTCGCCCTGTACATATTCGATCTTAAGCAGTTTGTCAATTCAAAGTTTCAGCAAAAAATAAAACAAATGTTATAAAGGCCATTTTTGATTTTATACACATTTATTGTACCCATCATCGAAAGATCGAAAGAGGGTTTGTTCATTACGTTAACACGTTTGCAACAACCAGAAGAAACCTTCAAATCCGATAAAAAGTACATATTCCTGATCAATATGAAGTCTATCCTTTTTCTGGGGGTCCGTCTGTGATAAACATTCCCGGGTTGTAAAAATTGAAGTATACACTTAAAATTTGCAAATACATTGGAGACTCCTGTGCGCAGGCTGGCATTCAAAGTAGGCCATATTGTTCAAAGAGCATGCCTGCAGCACTGACTATATATATTATATGTATTGCGAAAAAAATATATATATTTATGTATACTTATCTTTCTGCTTTTTTCTTTTCTTCCTTGCAAGAAGTATTTTTTATTTTTATGGAGTAAACATTTTCGTGTAATATTTTTCCTATTTCACAAATTAATTAAATTATTAATTGTATGAGTGAATGATTATTTGAGTGAATTTTTATTTTTGTGTCTCATTAATCTTATTTTACATTCAGGAAACGACGATTTGGATGATTTCATGAGATACGTATCTATCCTATAAACGGAACAACGATTTTTTACTATAAGCAACACTTAATTTTGTAAGTAAAAGTGCTATATTACCTGTATATATTAAATTACCTCTTATAATCATTCTTAGGAAAATCATCGTGTCAAGTGCAAGATTAAGGTAAGGCGTTTGAGGCGTTCGCTAAAAAATCGTACGTAAATAGAGCGAAATATATAAATATGGTTGTTGGTTCGTATGGACAAAATATGATACGACATATCAAGGATATATCATTATTTTCATATATATTTTAAACCTGACTGTGAAATCAAATTTTTCGCTTTATGTTCAAATTAAATACCGCACACAAACTTCAAACAGGCTATTTACATCTTCCATTCTTTCTTTGCTTGTTCTTTCGAATAGTTATTTAAAAGTACTGAGAAGACTGCTGGGCGAATATAAAATTTCTCAACTTTCTCCAGGATAAAGTTTTGGATAAGTTTTCGTAAACAATAATTGAACAAGATAATGCATTCTTTTCTATTCTACCTGACGGCACAGTTAAACTGCAACTATATTTTTTTAGGCTGCGTAAGTGAAACCCGTGGATTAATTATATATAATACAAATGCTGACCATTTGTTTATATTTTCCTTTTGAATGTATAGCTACGGAGCTACAAGCAAAACCGCGGCTTTATTCGACTTAGGGGAAATTTTTTCGATTTTACGTCGCGGATCGGAATATCTTCGTAGAATCAATATTCAATATCTAAGCACAATTTCCAAGCAATATAAAAAGTGACTTTTATTTTTCTATTGTTAGGGAAATTTTATTTCTTTTTTCTTTATCGAAGTTATCCTAATTTTATCAGTTATGCAAAGGTCTTATGCTGATAAGGAACATTGATATTTGATAGTAGAAAGTAGCAAAATCTCGACCCATTTTCAAACTTTTCCATCTCTTAATGAGTTTTATTCAAAATATTCTATACACGTGTCGACTCATGTCGATCAAACCTACTTGAAGCGCTTTCTTAAATCTTCAGACTTTGCTCAAGTCTCCATACTTAGAATTTCATTGCCGTATGAGCGCATCACGTATCTTGCACATTATATTTTGTATTGCTAACAACTGGATGAAGCGAGTTTTAAAAGTCGTGAAATACTATTCGAAAAGTTAAAATATCTATATCGGATAACTCTATAAGCGGGTGGAAAACCTTGACTAATTTTTGAGAATCAATTTAATACGATTTTTTATTAACTATAATTCTATACAGTATATATATTTACTAAACCAACTTAAGATCTAGATTAATTTAGTCATGTGATCTGTCCATCTGGTGGAGTTCTCAAGGTCACATAGGTTAGAATAGAAAATTGCAAATTTTTATTTCCAATTCAATTTTGAATATTAAAAGTAAACAGGTGAAAAATCGTGCCCCACCATTAAATACGTCATATCACTTCGCTTAATATATTCGCTCAAAATAAAGCGGCATATGGAAACTGGCTGGAAAAGTGGTGCAATGGGGGTCATTTTCAATAGTATTCGTGCTTGGACAAAAACACATGGGCGTACCAACTTTCATCAAAATAACTAAAAAATTTCGACTTGTAAATGCGAATAGAAGTGAAGAATACAAGCTGGACAGATAGACAAAAAACGCTGGATCGATTTAGAAAGTAACGCTGAATTAGTTCGCAAAGTAGTTCGGAATCAATTAATATAGTAATTCACTTTGAATGTCGCATACATCAAACTTATATACTCCTGCACGACAAGTGGTAAAAGGAAGAAAGCAAAAACAGAGGTACTCTTAGTTTACGCGGCACTATAAGAATTTCCTTCGATAGGGATCGCCCATTTTCACTATCAACCTGCGTGCAAGAACCTCCAAAGCTTCCTCTCAAGTTCAAAGCTGGCACCCCTTTTTTTTGCGGCCAAGAAAATGTTCATCGCAACACGACACGGTGAGACCGAATGGTCAGTCCATTCAGAATTTGATGCTCATCAGGTATATATTTTATTGGGTTTCTGAAGCTTTTTTTTGCAAAGCAAAATGACAAAATGAATACACCCTCATACTTTGGTGGTGAGTATAAAATATAGATCGACACCCTCAGATTAGCGAATAACTGGTATTTGAGCGAAACGGACAATATATTTTCCTTTATAACTTGCACGCATTGCCATCGGTTTGAAATTTTACATAGTTAATTGATACTTTTGCTCGTTTATATATTGTAATATAATAAGACTCGCCCGCAGATGAAAAAGACGTCTTCACTTTCTTGTTACGCTGCATCTAAAATGATATCTAATTTTGTTCTTTTGTGCTTAAGATACGGATTTATCATAAAGGTTTGATGATATTTATTAAACATTTATCTATCGCTGAAAATCGTGAAATCGTATAAACTGATGCGTTATTTCATACATTAAAACAAATAATTATACGGAACGTCATTATAAACTAGACAGATACAGTACGCGCAATATTTATATTGGTAATCAAACGAAGCAGAGAGAATGAAAGTCTAATAAGGTGGTGGTTGGTGTTGATACTGTTGGCCCATCATGTTGGGTTGGTTGAGCATCGAACGTTGCTGTAAATGGGCCACCAGATTTGGTGTTTGTTGTTGGCCAACACTTTGATTTTGGGGCTGGGTCATGCCACTGGCTCCATTATTTTGTGGTCCTATACCTATAATAAACAAGGGATTTCAAAATGTAGCCGTCCCGAATTAATTAAAAGTTAAATGTTTTGATTACAGAACTTTTTCTATACCTTGCATTTGCATCATTTGATGTTGTAAACGTTGTTGCTGTTGGAATTGTTGTTGAGTGGACACAACCCCCGGTTTGCCTCCGCTAGTTTGTTGTCTTGAATACGGCGGAACTGCGCCCTGTCCCATGGTACTATTCATGGTAACGTTAGGAGCTTGACTCATATATTGACCGCGATTGCTTGTCATACCAGCTGGACCTCTTTGTGGAGGTTGTTGCTGCTGCTGCTGTGCCATAAAGTTTGCTACAATATTTGCCTGTTGGTTAGAGTTGCCGCTTTGATTGATGGTTTGGTGTTGATATTGACTGAAATTTTGAAATTGTCCGGCATTCTGATTGACCATATTCTGACCAACGGCCCCGCCACCTACACCTACGTTTTGTTGCATCATAGCACTTGCGCTTACCAGTCCTGTGCTATTTTGGCTAGTCATAATGTTGGCATTTTGGTTGTTACCTGTTGACATCACGCCAGCATTTTGATTCATAATCATTTGATTATTGTTTTGAGGATTCATGGTTTGAGCAGAGATTTGTTGTTGCATAATAGGGTTTTGAGTCCCCAAAGTCTGGCTGCCCATACCCACCGTATTTATACCAGGTGCCATTTGGTTCGGTGCCGCTCCAGTTAATTGGCTAGGTGCCATGGATCGCATACCACTACGGGCAAACTGTTGTTGCTGTAATTGTTGTTGTTGTACTGGATTTAAAACCCCAGTTTGCGATTGTGTTGTCAAGCCTTGAGTTTGGCGCTGTTGTTGTTGCATGGTGTTGAATGCGGCAGAATTGTTCTGATTCATTGGTGGTTGCCTATGCCTTAGCATATTATGAATCGCCTGTCGTGAATTGCTCATATGTGGTGGACGTTCAAAGCGGTTCACTAAAAAAATTATATTTACTTGTAATATTTAAAAAACAAACAATGGTAAAAATCATATCAGGTTTGTTGCGATTCAAACTTTATACAGGGGACGTGAAAAAATTATGACGATCATAACAGAATTAATCCCCAAAAGGTTTGCGTGACTATCGTTTGTCTTAACGCTTACAACTTCGAAAACTGAAATAAAATAAAAAATTGGCATACATGCTCCTAGTTGACCCCTATAAATCAATTTTGAAAATGCACGTGAATATATTGCAATCATAGTAACAGTTAGCACACAACCGAATTTTAAAGTCCACTACGAAAGGGGACCTTAAACCTTTCATATATTTATGCTGAGACCATGTAAATAGCCACATAAGAAGCTTATGAAAAATGATCTTGAGCAATAGACACGCCCATTATCAAAACATCCCGATTTCCATTTATTATTTTGGGCATGTTTTTTTTCGGTGAACGCATTGTATCGGCTCAACATTGTCGTTTTTCAACTAAAATTCTTGGATTTATTTGCAACTGAGTTTTCGCATTTGGTTTACCTGCTAAAGTAAATGTTAGTACGGTTTTAACAAACTTGCAGGTGGACACAGATCATTAACGATAGATATATGTATATAAAGAATATAAACCGTTTTAAAGGCATTCTACATACTTTGCATGCCTTGTTGTTGTTGTTGGTAAAATTGTTGTTGTTGTTGCTGTTGCTGTTGCATGGGATGAAACTGATTTTGCCCTGGCCATTGTTGTTGCTGGGGATTGTGACCGGTTTGTGCCATACCTTGAGGACCGTTTGACCCCATAAAACCCATTTGAGAGCTCTGCTGCGAATTTCCAACGTTCATTTGCTGTTGTATACCGCTGGGCACGCCAGGCATTTGTTGTTGCTGTTGTATTATAGCGTTGGGATTTTGTTGCATCATTTGATTGGAATTGAATTGTTGCATATTAACCTGAAAGCATATCAGTGATCAAAGAAGAAAGTGAATATGAAAAGTCAAAAAGCGCTAACATTAGACCCTAGTTGCATATTCATTTGCATTTGACCCATTTGCTGAGGATTCATTTGTTGTTGCTGTTGACTTTGCTGCTGTTGCTGTTGGCTTTGTTGCTGCTGTTGTTGCTGCGACAGTTGTTGCTGTTGAGAATTTGGCTGTTGTTGCGGAAGTTGACCTTGTTGCTGTACCATTTGCGCCTGCGGAGTAACAGGTGGTGTTTTTGGATTTTTTGGTTTACGCTTACGAGTTTGACCTTTACCACGTCCTCTTCCCGTTACAACGGCACTAGGCGACTGATCTACAGAGGATGGTGTATCGGCCTTCATTTCATCCTTCTGCAAAAACAAAGTCGGTGTCTTGTCGATAACACACAAACATCAAGCAAAAAATAAAGTAAATTAAAAAAAGAAATCATACGTCAAACAAGAAAAAAAACAAAACGAAAAACCTACGACTATTTTTTCTGCTATGGGTTCTATGTCTTCAGGTGGCAACGGCAACGCTTCATAATAATAACTGCTTGGTTTTACCAAGCTGTGTGTATGGTATTTTAAATTACGATGGGCCTCTTCATATGTTAGTGGTTTTCTTTCTAATTTAACAGCTCCAAACCAAACCCACGATAATGGAGCTGGATTCTTGTGACCCTCTAAAATATCCCATACCGATATGCGTTGCTTGTCGGAAATGCGCAGTTGTTTTTTATCCATGTCATTAATTTTATTGCCTTTCTGATCAACACCGGCGGGCTCACATGATATAACCTGTTATTAAATTAAAACTTTGAATTTGGAATTATATGCGATCAAGGAATAAATTGCTAATTACCTCAGTGGGTTGTTTATATAAAGGTAACAATTGCCTTATAACTTTAATAGACGCATTATTCTTTTCACCGATTTCCTTTTTAAGCTTTTTCATTAAATTTGAGTAGAATTTTTCATCCCGTTCTGATTGACCATCGGATACTAAAGTGGAGTGTACCAAAGTTGTTAACATATCTACAACTGTAGTAAAAAGTTCTCTAAAATAAAAACAAAGTTAAATTATTTTGAAAATGCAGAATGAATAGAAACGCACTTATTGGTGCTAAGATCGACAACCCCTTGACATACTAATTGGGCCAGCAATATAGCCCAATCCGTTATGGATGTTCCATTCTTTTGTATTGACTCGAACATTCCGCCCACCAACGAGAAGCGCAATTGCAAGGCGTCTAACATTTCTTCCCGTCCCAGTGGATCGTCAACACCTCCCATAGTATCAAACTGAAGTAATAGTTATTTTGTAAAGTATTCTTCATTGGACATTTCTTCATTGGACTTACCTCTGTATAGGATTGCAAACATTGTGAGAGCTGGGAGTATAAGGAACACAGCAAACCTTCTTTATACTCATCTTGACTTTTTAGACAAGTCAATATTAAGCCTAAAAATGGTTGATAGTTTAGAGGCATTTTGCGACTACGTGAATTACTGCCGTTAACGCCAATACTGTAACTACTACTGGCGCTACCACAACTATTACTTTTTTCTCGTTCATCACCACTGCAAGAGCTGTTATTATCTGATTTCGAAACTTTGGAGAAGTAACTCATGCTCTCTAAAACTTGGCCAGCTACTCGTAATATTCGTCCTTGTACAGCAGGAGTCAATTTAGCTACCAAAGGAGCTACGAGCCAGGTTGATGCCTTGGGACGATGTTCGGATTTTAACCCACTTGCCACGACGACTTCCTCCATAAGAAACACATCAATAGCAGCACGAGCCACTGTATCTAACCAACTACTTAATTCGGCAGGATTATTCATACTTTGGCGATGCATCAACTGTAAATCCAACCAAGATATTCGTAAAGTCCATTGGCCCAAATTTTCCAGTATGCGCACAATCATTGATCGCTGATCAAGTTCTGAAATAATATTATATTCCGACTCCGGATAGCAAATCATATGTAAGATTCGTTGTACTTGCTTCGGTGTCAGCATTTCGTCGATAATCATGTCGCAAAGTTTTTCAGCATTTTTTAGACATCTTTCCAGAACGTGCTCTTGGGCACAAATTTGTTTAAGGACATGTTGCGCAAATTCCAACAATGAAATCTGTTCACTATTATTTAAGGCGCCAGTATTTGATGGGGTCGACGTCAATTGTTGAGTCATGTCGTGGTCGTGTTCAGTGTTAAGACTGTTCAAATCGCTAGTACCAAGTATTTGACTCAAATCTACAGGGCGCTCATTACTTTTTGGCGTACTGCCAGGATGCACAGGCGTACTGAAACCGCTTCGTTTTCCGCCAGTAGTGCCAAAAGCTCCTCCAGAGCTATTACCAGACATGTTGGACGTTTTTAAAGCAGTTGTGTCCACTACAATTAGAATAGCTTTCAGAACTGCTAACACCGCTTCAAGAGGCACATTTTTATGCGCTCCAATGAGCAAATGTCGATCGCAGCTAAGTTTTATGTTCGAACTGCTACCTACAGTTGTTAAGGGATTCGGCGAAGTACTTACAGAATACATGCCCGGCTGAGGTATTTCAATAGTTTTAAAGAGTTTTAAAACCAAATGACAAGTTAAACGGGCTCCTGGGAAACAAATTAACTTAATAATTAGCTTAAAGTGATACAATGCCACTTACCCGCTTCCGCGTCAGCACTTATTTCACCGCCCACTGGATAAGCATTTGCCAAAGTAGGCAAAGCGAAATTCATTACAAAATCTGCTAATGAAAAGCAGTGACGAGCTACTAATATGCATATGAATACCGCCAAAGAATTATGAATTTTACTGTTCTGTATATCCACCTGACAGAAGTGAGGATAGCGAGGCTTTTTCATTGCATTACAAATGCTTTGCAAGGCAGCGATCCATTCCTCAGACAAAGCATTACAGCCGGCTGTCAGTTCCGCACAAGAAATAGCAATGTCATTAAGTCGGTCGTTATCAGCTTCGTGACAGACCGCCACAATTGCATTGGATACAAAACTATACACGTTGGACGGCGATTCATGTAACTGATGCAACCATATAGAATCAATTTTGCCTCCCCGTTTGGGGGAGGTAAATAATTCTTGCAGAAATTGTGGATTATATGCTTGCGGTACGATACCCAGCTGCTCGGGGGCATTAAATATATCCTTGAATTTTTTGATAGCAGCCATTTGTTGAAAGAACTCGGGTTCCTGCTCCTTAGTTTTGAGCAAGAAACAGGATTCATAAAGATCGCTGAGATATGCTAGAATGCAGCGTTCAGCTGAACTGCACTCACTAGGATTGGTAACGTGCTTAATAGTTCGACACAGGCCATCAAATACTGAAACAGTTTGCTCAGGGGACAACAACAGGCAACTATGGTAACGTCTTAATATCCCCACTATGTACAAACCCAACGAAGTTGTGTAACTTCGGACCATATTTGATTTTTTTGCTTGCAACTGATTTTCCAACTCTGGCAGTTCTTTCAGAATCTGATCACACAACTCTAGCAGACTGTGAATATTAAGAGCCATTTCCATTAGATCAAACAAAAAAGCTACATGCTCTTGTACAGGCAAATAGTTATTGCTGCCTAAAGCAAAGGCATTTAATTGCTCCAAAACAGTAGCCGCGCACTGGGAGGTGACCACATGTTGGTCGAAATAAGCCATATTTTGGCATTTGCTGGTGGTGGCTTCAAAATTGAATTCATTCCGGGAATGCTTCTTCACTTTACCACCCTCAGCCACATCAATGCTAAACTTTTTGGTAAACAATTTACAGATTTCCTTGGACATTTTTTTAACGGCGTGTTTTTTTTCATCGCGCTCTTTACCAACTCCAAATAGCAGAATATAACGCTGATTCGATTCGCTGCTATAGGACGTTGTAGGATCGTCTTGAGGAATAGGAAAATGTTTCGTATAGATGTAATGTCGAGAAATGGAAGAATTTGCATTATCACACCCAATGCTGTTACTAGTGTCGGGAATTTTTGGACTGTCTGGTGCTTCAGCTTGTCCTTTCTCTTTGATATTTTGTAACAATTTATCTAAATCGTCATCAACATTTGAATCGTCGAATTCGTTGTGCTTGAAATCCATACTGGTACCGAAATCGTCGTCGAATCCTTGATTAACTGGCGGAGAAGAGGCTTTATTTGACACGGGACCTGATACCGTGGTTGTTGCAGTAACAGTTGGTTTGGAAGAGTCCACATTTGCTACCCCTTCCAGCAAATCACCACGTGATATTAGTGTATGCATGTAGGCATTGTGGGAGAACACATCGTATCTTATCAAAGCGCTGAATAAATGAACAAGATTTGTAAACTGAGTGCGATTAGTCATGCCACCGTTCTCGTCTAAAACTGGAGCATCATGATCTAAAAAATTCATTAAAACGGACTGAAATACTGGTAATCCACCTATAAGACCGGCACCCGACGCTATAGAGTCTTTATCATCATTGAGATTATTATTACTATGGGCAACGGCATTACCAATATTGTTATCTGGCTCATTGGGCGTGGTAACCTCTATTTGCCGCTTATCCAAAAGTAAAGCCACTACGATAGCACGATGTTCACCCCACCTAGCAACAAATCGTTTTCAAAATATAAATAATCATCATTTTAAACGAATTTCTTAATCAACGGTTTTCTTACCTCTGGCTCGAAACAGCCCATTCACACAAAATCCTAACAGTGTTACCGTCAACCACATTAGCATCGTATTCGTGGCGAATTTCTTTTATTTCTCCATTGGGACCTACCTCTCGACGAATGGTAACAAACGTTTTAAATATGTTCGCATATAATGAGTCTATGGAATTAGTTTGATCCATTCGGTCGAAACAATGTGTGTCCAAATAATCTAATATACTTAAGACATGCGTATATGAGTTTTTGTTGGCATTTTGCCACTTTTCAGCAAACCATCGATTCTCTGCGTGTTTAGATCGTAAAACAATTTCAGCTTCTGTAGCCCTTAACTGACGCCGTACTTCCGCATTCGTAATAGGACATTTAATTGGCATGGGTAGAATTGACGGTGCTACAGGTAAATGGTCTAAAGGACTACCGCAGAGAGCAGCTGGAGCTCTATTTTCTCCAATTCCACACCAAACCATTGCCGTAGGACACTCGACAGTAATAACTTGCAATATAGTGCTAAGATATAAAATAATATCACGATGGTGAGGACAGTTTAAATATTCGTTAATAGCTACTTCGTATGGATCAAGCTGAGTCTTTTTCTTATCAATTTCTTCGTCCATCTCCATATGGGTTGTGTTCTCACTTTTACCATTTGTCAACGGTTGCTGTTGATCTATGACAGCATTTAGCAAATTAGTTAGTTTTTTCGCTACAATATATGCCATTTTACGACATAAACGTTCTGATTGCACAAAGTCTTGCATATATGGTAAAGCAAACGTGAGCACTAATCTCTTCAATGATTCATCAAAATTGGCTTGGGTACGCATTCTATCCAGTAACTCCAAAATCCAATTTAGAAATTCCATCCGATCTAATAAGGACTCTTCATGCATGTATTTACTTAACTGAGTACAATAGTTCCAATATTTCAAAGCGTTGCGGCTGTCTTCAAAATTGCTACCAATTCCGGATATTGAAGATCCAGAAACCGGTGTTTGATTTGCACCGGTTATACTACTTTGACTAGACGAAGTACCAACACCGGAACCACTATTGCTACTCAAAACACCTAGACCTCCACTACTAGACGATTGACTATTCGCGGGACTTAGCATAGGTACAGGGCTGGCTATTGAAGGCACCAAAGTAGCGTTATTCGACGAATGAGATAGAGCCAAGCTTGCGTTATTGTTCTGTGTGGTTGGAGCGCCTTGACCGCTTAAAGATGCTTTTTCAGATGAGCTGCCTATAATTTATAAAATACGCAATCAAAGAAACTTTTACGTTTCGAAGATATATAAACACTTACTTTTTTCGCATAAGTGGTAATATTCTTGAAGTTTCGGCAAAAGTTCTTTCATGAATTTTATTAAATTTCCAGTCCACTCTGGTACTGGGTCGAACGAGTTGCGCTTTTTATTCTTTGATTCCGATACACTAACCATATAAGCGGCACTCAGTTTAATGAACCAGGTCGCTCTCTGCATATTGACCTGATGATCACATAGCGTAATCAATATTTCCTCTTTTTTATTAAACGATGGAGCCTTCTTAGCCAAGCTCAGTAAGGGTTTATTGCCGGCCAAATCTTTAAACCAGGCATCCAAAGCGCCTTTTGTACGAGGGGATACCGGCCAAAAATTATCCTTGAAATTAATTTGTTGCTTTTTGCGTACGGTATCTTGTAACGTCATTAACTCTTCCTTTTTCGCCAAAATGGCATTAAAAAATGATGCTACTTTACTAGCATTCACATTTGATGTGTGGGCTGTGCCAAATTCATCAGAAAGCGGAGGCATTGAAGCAAAGCCTTTGTTTACGTTAGACGGTGTCAATTCATCTTCGCGTTGCTTTGCTTCTTGTGGATACACATCTGGGGGCCCTAGACGTGAACGTTTAAGAGGCCGTTTTTCCTGTAACAATGAAAGCATTGCTCTTTTTCAGGATGTACAAACTAATCTTGCCTTAATTTATTATCTATGTTTTGTTTTTTTTTATATAAATCGCAAATACGATTTTTACAAAAACCCAAAAATTATTGGTTACCAGATTTGCTGAAATAAATAGAACGTTAGTGTTGTAAATTGTACAAAATGGTGGACAGCTGCTTCAACACTGAAAGAAAAATTGAATTGCTTTGTTTATTTTGAAGACTTCTTCAATAATTTCGATTTCTGTTACATATCGATAACTGCAATTGTTATAACAGCATAAACCACATCGCAAATAGTATTCATAAAAACCAAAGTGTGTATAGCTTTTTCATGAATGGTATGCAATTAAGTTTTCTTTATTAAATCATTTGCACATTAATTTTTACATGTTAAAGGTTATTTTTAATATTATAATTAAAGTGGAAAATTGAATTTTGCATCCTGGTATTCAAATGTGTGGATATTAGGTTCACTATAGAGAATAGCACAGTGTGTATGCATGTTTTAATAAACGCGATTTTTATTAATAGATTTATTAATAAATTGGATTTGTGAAAATTAATAGCAAGTAACAACTAATTGCCGACACAGTATTAAAAAACGGCATTATTAGCAGAAAAGGAATAATGAATGACAGACCGGAACCCAGTGAGAAAAGACAAAAGATAGTAAGTATTCTACTTCAGTTGCACGTACGCAAAGAATTAATTTTAATTATTAAGAAAAATACACCAACGCTTTTAAAAAAAAAGAAAATTTACGTATCTAGCAGAACAGCGGATTTTGAATACTCAATACTTAAGAGTAATATTTTCTTCTTCCTTAATTAAAAAATATATCTGGTTGATATCGCTTTTACTCTTTAATATACTTTTTTAACAAACATTGGTGTATGTCAATCTCTGATATATACCATAACTTATTCAGTCATGAACGAATATTATTTGTTTTTTTAGAAAATTTACATTTTTTTAGATGCTTCGGATATATAATCATTATAAACATAGAAACATTAGATTAACTTATAATTATCAATTTCATTTGAAATTTCTTAATCAACCATTGTGACTTTAATTAACAACGAATTGAAAAAGGTAATCGGGCGGAACGTGGTAAATCTTTTCAAAATTTCACGTTGATTAAGGATGTTTCAAACGTTAGAAATGAAAAATCATCGCAGTATATACCCGCTATTGTAAAGTAAATCTTTTGGACGGATGTGTGGAACGCCCAAAAGGATTGTCTTTGTTATACTAATGGATTCAGAAACATTTTCATTTCAACTTTCGCAATTTTTGATGAAATTTTGTATGTGCTTGTAAGACACCTCCCCCCCTCCCCTCTCCCCTGTATCATATTAACGCCTTAGTTTGCAAAAGTCGCTATATGGAAACAATGTTGCGGTTTTCACAATATCTCACCATACATGGTTAAGTACTTGAAAAAGGCATTTATCGAGAAATTTGGTATAATATATATTAATCAAAATATTTTCCTTCGTTTTGTGCAACTGTTCCCCAAAGTTCTGGCAACAGGGCGATGATGTGTCGAAAAAAGGATTTGGTTTGGCAGCGATCCAGTCATTGACCTATTTTCACAATTCTTCAGCATTTCGAAACCGCGTCACACCCAAGCCATGCTGTATTGGCCTGAAGTGGTAATCAAAAGGAACTATGTCTGATGAGTACACTAAATGTTCCAAAACTTTCCATTCGATCTGCAACAGTATGCTTGACAACTCTTGCAACATGTGGGCTGGCGTTGTCACGCATGAGAATAACTTTGCGTCTACTAACCCGTATTGCTGGTCTTTTTTGCAGAAATACGTCCTTTCATTTGTTCAATTGACGCCGGTAGATATCTGCAATAACAGTTTCATTCGTTTTGAGCTGATCCAACCATATGGACAGCGAAGCTTAATGGCAATGAATAATCCGCTTCTTCTCGACTCACCCCCGACTTTTTACGCTTAAAACTGTCGCAGTAGATGCATTCGTCATCGCCTGAGAAAAACTCTTCTTTTTTATTTGGCAACCAATGAAACCGTGATGTTGAAACGGTTCGAAATGACATTTTCATTCAATTCGTGTGGTAACAATTTTCTCTCCTTTTAGACCTTTCCCATCGCATGTAAACATCTAGAAGCAGTTGATTCATCAAATGACCAACTTTTCTAGAGTTTGAGCAGGGCTTTCGTCCAATAAGCTTTGCAGTGTGTTTTCCAACTTTCTTGATCCTCCAGGTCGGTGTTTATCATTGAGGTCAAAATCACCACTTTTAAATCCAAATCGACAATTGGGACATGATGGAGCAGCATCACCACAAACTTCTAAAAGTGGGTTTCGGCAGCAGATTTCTTCAAGCAAAAGAGCAAAAGTATTAAATGACGAAAATGCAACTTTGAGTGCTACATGGCACATGATTAGCGTCTCTATACACTAGATACCTCAATAATACTTAATGAAAAACCGTTATTTTATGCAGAAAAAGGTTTAAATTACCTAATTTAACCGTTGTGTGCACTGATACTTGACATTACTTAATCGTTTTCGCCGATAGGTATCGCTGATCAAAATACATACAAGCATCTATTAAAAAGTTTGAATCCACTGATATAGAAAAAAGGACATATGACCTTATATGGAAACAACCGTTAATTTTTATTATATTAAAT